TTATTATTATTATTATTATTATCATTATCACTACATCACTATCACTATCATGATCATAATTATTAGTATTATTATTATATAAATACATTTTTTAAAAAGTTTGATTGATCGATTGATTTTTTTTATTAACTACTCCAATTGTAATGGACTTCTTTTCTGAACAGCACAAAAACTACTTAACTATGCAACATAATCAGTTCGGGAAAGGGAACGATAGCCTTCACATTTTGGGGGGTGGGTAGTATATATAGATTAGTGCAATTTATATCACCTGGAGTGAGGGTCACTCAACTGCTGTACAACCAACTGAATCTCCTTTATTGCTTGAATCAAGGTTCTTATAATTATAGATAATGGTAGCTAACGTATATATGTGATACAAAATACAAAGGATAAGTACAGTTTCCTAATTATGACATGCAACTACAATTTTACAGATATGGGCTAATACTTATGCAAATTCTGAGGACCTAGGTGCTAATCTGAACAGAATCCTGCACTTATCCTGTTGCTGGGAGAAACTAGTGTTCATACATGTTTTCAAATGGAAACCACAAACTATATTTTAAATTCCATGCAACACATAGTAGGAATATTTTCAAGGATACTTTAACAACAAAGGCTTATACAAAGATCATATTTCCAGTTGTAATTATGCAATCAAAGCTATTTTAAAATTGGTTTGTCACACTTTGTCATGCTATGCTTAACTTCACAACAGTTTCAGCACAATTTTGCTGCCAAATCACAAAAAAATGTCAATCCACTGTCTGAAACTAAGTTACCACAAAAAGGGTAACAATTGGGTAATCATTCACTAACCACAAAGGGTAATTTGAAGCAAGTAGACTTTTGGGCATTTAATTGACCTCACTAAGGAGAGAGAAGATAGTATCAGATTAGCACTTACCTCTGGATTTTGTTGCTTTCACTTTTGCCCTCTGCCATGGTTTTGATTTTTGTGTTGCACACTTGTCATTAACAGCATATTTCAAAATAGATCCAGTGTCTTGCTCACATTCCTTTTTTCCTACTCCTTTTTTCTTGAGGCCAAATCCTTGATTACTGTTCATCTGATCTCGCTGTTTTTGGCTGCACTCATCCTTTGAACATAAAACATGAAGAAACTTTTGTTGTCATCAGATTATCATTAATCATATATTGTGTAGTTCCAGAAAATATCTATACCCCCACCATGGGGGGAATTTCAGTAAGCTCCTCCCCTCTTCCCTCTAGAATTTCCATGAGTGTTATGTAAACCCCCACAACCTCTGAAAAAAAGTTTTGGCAAGAAAGTGTGTTAAAAGTTAACGTAAACACTCCAAACACTTTGCTACTGAGCTACACTGAGCTAATTGTATGCTATCACTGATCACAAACCAATTACAATCATTGTTAAATCAACAAACATTTGCATACAACGTATTTACAGGAAGAGTTTTTGGCCTGCATATGCCCAACTAGGTATGCTAGGTGCCGTATTTGCAGTGGTGCCTGTAGTTGCACTAACTGCAACAGTAACTGAGCAAACAAAATGTCATACATATCATTGCTGTTATTATGTTATACATGTTACACAAAGTTCCCTTGGAATAGTCAGGATCCAGAAATCATTGCAGTGAACCCCAATAGGCAGAACATTTTCTACACATGTTCAACATGACCACACACTGGTGATGACAAAATCAAAGTACTGCTTCTTCTGTACTTAGCAAAACTACAAGTGATGAGAGAGAGGATGCCCCAGTCTACAGTGATTAACTCCGATTTACACACTCTTATCGTGGACATTGTATATTGACAATACAATTAGAAAATGTGAACTCAAAACAGTATCCCTAGGTTGATGATTTTCTTAACTTGGCCTGTCTACTTGAAAATGTATTACTACTACAGAAGGGAGAAATTATAGGTTGACCACTTGTTCTTGAAAAGTGAAAATTTCATTGCTTAGCCTCTATTTTGTAAGTGATGAACACATTGTATATTTTCTAATCCACTGTAAACTTTTAAACTTTATCCATAAGACTCTTAGTGTTTACATTTCCTCAGTTACTAATTTTTTAAGTACCCATGAACTGAAAATATCAAGTCATTTATTTAGTAAAACTCAAATTGCTCCAAATTTTTTACATGAGACTTAAAGAAACGGATATATTTTTCTACCCTCAATGTTGGTAAAAAGGTCTCCTCATTATTAGGGGTTGATTGCAAGTCTCTCAGTGATCAGTTGTCAGGTGGTAAACACAAACAGAATATCTTAATGTCTGTTTTCAGTTGCACATATATCAGAGCTGAGAATTGAATGTGTATAGTTTTATGCAGGGACAGAATGTTTTGAAATTGATGCCTTGCTGAGACCTGGTCTTTAAAACCCTAATTTCACCTAAATCATTTAATTATACCTGACTGCAAAAGGTACACTTCCTAACTTTTTGCATCAGTACAAAGCTGAAACATTATCCACTCATCATCATTATCATCAGTTCCACTTCCTCGTTTGGAGATTGGGGCCAGCAATGTAAAATGACTTATTGGCCTTCCCATGGTTCCTTCCATCGATGGCAAAGCAAAAAAATATGCTAACAATTATTCGCCAGGAAACAAAACCATTTACTTACAGTTTTCCTTTAAGTACAATACAGTAATATATTTTAGACATATTTTCTGAAACACCAACCCTGAGCCTGCATTTATAAAAGGTTCCAACTTTTTAAAATTGTGGAAGGCGCTGTAGTACAGTCGTGTTATTTTTGGAAGCAATAGGTCTAAGCTGTGGGAGATTTTTGTTGTGATGTTGATCTCCTTCAAGCTGCCTAATGGAAAAAAACACCAACCACTTTTGACACTTCCGCGGTTCACTCTTCGTCGAGTGCTGACTCGACGAAGGTGATTCTCCAGCCTGTTCGAGCCACAAACTCTTTTCACACAAGACCCTACGATTGACAATTCCTCCGAAGAAAGTGATGCCAGCAACAATGAACGGAATTCTTTAATATTCTTCACCTTTCTGTACATGGTTTACACAGTTTCGTAGGTAATCCATCACCAAACTTTATAATTTCTTACCCAGTTAAAAATTCAAGCAGTTTTAAAATTTCCAGCTCTTTGCTGCTTTCCTTGCTGAAAATATCAACTGGAGTTTCTAAAAAAAACGTTTTTTTGCAACAGCAATGAGTGTTGAGCCGTGAGTTAAACAACATTTCCCAAATCCTCCATTTTAAACACTGCTCAACACCGCTGGTCACAGCTGTTTCATATTTTCGCGCCAGCAATCAGCTCAAACATTCTGACTTCCGTTCAAGATTTCTTTGTTTTCAAACACCCAATCAAAAAACTTCGAATTCACTTGAAAATCCTATGTCCCCAGAGCCCTTTGATTCTCGTGCCACGGCCCTGGTGGCTAAGAGGAGCAAAAAGGGCTATGGGGACGAGAATGTCTTTGGCTTTAAAAAATATACACTTGTATGGGCTATGAATGGTCACAAGGGCTTATCATCACTCCAACTTTGTGAAAACATAAATTTCTTTTGTTTTTAGGTGCAGGTAATCTGACAGTGCGGGTAATCTGTTGAAATTTTTTTCTCGTTATTGCAAAAAATGACCCATGCGGGTAATCTACCGAGCGGGTAAACAGCCAGAAATTACTTATTATAGGTCAAGTCGTGTGGCGCATGCTAAAATATACGTCTCACCCGTTAATGGCAATTTGACAATGAATGGTCAAATATTTGCATTTTATACGTACTTTGAAAAGCTCTCGCATCGCTCACAATCATTTGCCCAAAGAATCTGTAGACCATCCTTCTGCAATTCAACCACGAGAAGCTTAATCCATTTGAAGGTTTCGCACACGGTGAAAATTAACTATATTCACGAAGTACTTTTAAGTGGATGAAATACATGTCTTCAAAACTTAATTATTTTGCACCCAAAAAGACAACGCAACATTCCCTAAAATCAACCCAGTACACATTTAAACATTGCACAAAAACATTTGAGTGTTTTAAAGACGGAAGAATGATGTGGTTTTGCATGCAAGGCTCTCAAACTTGCTCAATAAAATGGTGCATCAAATGAGGATTCTAACGGAATTTGGTAATTTGCATATTTCTTTGAAATAAAAGGATATTTTGCCCAAAAAACTATCCAGTAGTTTTCGTCACACCCCAGCCTATCTACCATAAGAATATGAGAGAAATTGAATTTTCGACCCTTGCCACGAAATTAAGAATTTGTCTGATTTTTACAGGCAGACACTCTTAAAGGAGAATATTCTATATCATGTGCATTATATTTAGCCTATTTTGTTATTTAAGTGGAATGCATGGTGGAAAGGTTGAGTGGATGCAGATAAATATGCATGTACACTGATACAACTGACCATTTACTTTATATATTACTAGCTGCAACATTGTCTCTTGGGTTTTTATTGAGGCTTGTGCCACTTGTAGTCCAATAAACACATATTATTGTGCTATGATATTCAAGTGCACAATGTCTTGTTCACAACTTTCTGGAAATGTGGGTTGTTTATCATTTACACATAAAAATTGGCTTGTCAACGATTTGTGCAAATGGTATGCAAAAATGCTTGATGGTATTAGTTATGTTCAGATCGACCATTTACCATTTACTCAAAAAACTCCAATTTAACAAAAGTTTAACCTAATCATAATTCCAGACGGTGGTGAAGAAGCAAAACAAAACAAAGATATTAGGTAGTCTGACAGTTCATTAACAGTCTTGATTTCTGGTAGTGGAAATTTTTCAACACAGCATTTCATTGTCTATTAATCCAGGTTGTTGTGGTATTATTTGTACCAATATGTTTTATATTTTAATGAACACCAGACAGTCTTAATGACTATGTCAATATCTAAGGTGAGTTGGTTGAGGCTGTGATGGTGAGCTGCATATACACCAGTTATCTGTTAATGAAGTTGAAAGTGTGCAAGCTTGGTTTTCGAGGGAAAGCTTCTTGTCTGATGAAGTCTCTTTGCCAAGACAATCCACACTACACTCAGCATTTATCATTAAAGTTCTTGAGTCGTCACTGTCATAATTAATTTTCATTCACTTGACTCTATCATTGTTTATAATAATTACTCATTGTTTTTTAACTTTATAGGTAGCCAGGAATAATCCAGCAGATGTAACATTAACTGCCACCCCTGAAATTCAATAAATAAAAAGGTTAAGATAAAAATGTAAATAATTTGGAAGATACATGTACCACAAATAAGGCACATCCCTTTTAAGTTGACCCAGGCCTAGCAGGACAGGATTCTTAACAAAGCAAACACACTGCAGATGCCTCTGATCAACTCTGTTTCCAACAATCTAAGATAGAGGCATTGAATTGATTATTTACCTGCATATTGATCCCATTTGGGCAACAGTCATGGTTACCAAATGTCACACAGCTTTTAAGATCATCAGTTTGTCTCATGGTTAGATTCATTAAACTTGATGTCGTTTCGCCTAACCAATCCAGGCCTACGCGTGTAACACACGAGCGAAGATAATCAGCAAGGAAGTACAGTTTGCTATTTATGAAATTCAGGAAATCATCTTTTACTGATCTACCGTAGAGTTCCAATAATAAGCGACCCTTGTTACTTTTGGAATTAGCAGCCTTCGGGGGTCGCTACTTTTGGGGGGTCGTAACTTTTAGGGAACAAAAATCGTTTACAAATAGAGCTGGCACGAACTTTTTCTGAAATCAAAAATGAACAACATGAAATCAAAAAAAGAACAACATTTTATTTGCATTCCATATGTATAGATTGTGTTTCATAAGAAGAAGGTAACAATGATAAATACAGCCATAATAAAATAAATCAATATCAACACCAATAAACAAATGAGACAAAATTCATCTATCCAGTTTCATGTTTTAACTGCGACATGGGTGGGCTCTGGATGTCTTCCTAAATTGTACTGTCAGTAGTCGGGACAAGTTCTATAAGTTTGTCTCTCAGTTCTTTTCTTAGACTTCTAAGTCCGTTCTTGATGCCCATTTCATAAACGCAAGGAGTCTTGATGCCTCCTCCTTGAACCCATACACCTTCAGGCACACTCCTGCCTTGGCCAGATACAT